GTGCCGGGCACTGGGCAAGGCCCCAACCAGAGGCCGCTGCTCTCCGTGGGGCACGCTGCCGCCTACGGAGTCACCCCCCATCCACACGCCTCTCCCCACTCTTCCCCCTACGCCAATGCCTCCAGCCATTGGGACTGCTCCTCTGTCATCTCAGGCCACACCTCCGAAGAGATGCCTTCTCCCAGCACCCAAGCTAAGTAACTGCCAACCCTCTCCTCGTGGACTGACCTTGGTTTTTTTTTCCTTCACAGCATCGCTCCCCTCTAGAATTATCTTATCTGCTTATAATACATTGTCTTCCCTCTTTAAGCCTAAATTCCATGAGGTTAGTTAGGGATAAATTCTGCCTTGTTCATCTCTATTTTTATCACCCTGAACGGGAACCTGGCATGAAGTAGATGCTCAATAAATGTTAGTTGGGTGAGTCAGTAAATTCACTTAATCATGTCACTCGTCTGTGTGTTCATTTATTTGACATTTATGCAGTGCTTTCTATGCACTTGTCATGAGCACTAGAGATACTCAGAGGAAAGAGACACGGACTCCACCTGGAGGTGAGAAGAGATATGTTAAAACTAATAATTACAACAATACCAAAGGTGAACTTTTTTGAGTCCCAGATGCTAGGCATAGCTCCAAGCACTTAATTCACTTGATCTTCACAATAGCAGCTACTATAATTGTGCCCACTTTACAGATGAGACACTGAGAACAGTCACGACATAAGATGCTGGGCCTGTAATCAAGTGAAGTCCCACAGAGGACAGGGGAGGAGACATGTGGCCAGGGGCCCAGTGAGATGTGAGTATCAGGCCCTGGTGGGTATTTTCGATATCTTATTGCTCCCACACAGCACAGTTTTCCACAGGCAACAGGCTCCTTCCAGGTTAGAGCTCTACTGCTGTAGGGGAACCCCCCCCCCATATCAGCAGAACAGGCAATGGGTAGGCTGTGAGGGTATGGAGGGCTGAGCTCTTGGCTGGTGGTACGATAGGACCCTGCCTGTTCAACTGAAGCCAAGTGTGGGCAAGTTTCTATATAACCTTGTAGGACATGGGGTGGGGCAGACAATCGTGGCTGTTAAAGCCCCTTTCTATGGAGGGCTATCTAGGAAATCCAGCAACTGACTCCCACCTCTGGGTTTCTGCGCGTGCTCTTCCCTCTGCCTAGCATGCACCTCCCCTGATTTTTGCATAATTGGCTTTTTATTATTCAGGTCCCAGGTGAGGTGTTTTTTTCTTTTTTCATTAGAGAGGTCTGCTTGGGTCAAGTCCTCTAAGGTGATCATTTATCATTGTCACGTTACTATATGCTAAGACCCTACCCCAGAATGGGAGAGTGGCCCAGTCAGGTGCATTGTCCTTTGTCCTGACCCGGTGTTTCCTGTTCATGCATTGTCTCTGCTCATTCTGGAAAGTCAGTACCTTGCCAGCAGGACCCCGTTAGAACTCACCTGAGCCCCTGCTGCCTAGACAGGCCTTGCATGCAGTAGGCGTTTGATGCTTTTGGAGAGTGAAAAGGGCCCCTCGCCCAATCACTTTGGCTTTCCAGGCCAGGGTCTGTCCCTTCCCTGGAACCTCTGCCATACACAAAGCACTTGGCCTGAGCAGGGAGAAGTGGCCCAGCCGTCTTGGTCACTGGCATTTTCCTGGTATGGGCCCGCCCTCCTTCCTGGGCCTGACTGGGCTGCTCTCCCGCTCTGGGGCAGGATTCTGGTCAGCTGCCTCTCCAGGATGGTGCCCAAGAACCACCAGGAGGAGAGGCCAGAGGCAGAGGGTCAGCGGTGTATGTGTGTGGGGGCAAGAGGAGCAAGGAGAACAGGGGTATGGGTCCCAGCCCAGATGGTAGGAGAAGGGGTCACTTTGCCCAGCCTTCCAGCACCTCTGTTGTCAGGAAAATGGGGCACCTGAAGGTCACAGGTGTTTCCCCCACAGTGGGGACTCAGATGCACAAACAGACACATAGAGGAGAGAATAAAACTTGGGTTTATTCAGACTGTTTCCTTCCCATTTGGGTGCAGAGTGAGGGGCAGTGGGGGCAGGGAGGCAGTACATTTGGCTTCTAGGGACATTGCTGATTGCCCTCTTTGTCTGTGTGAACTTTGGGTTGCCAGGATGACCCTCTGATCCATGGAGATGGTGACGAAGGGGCTGCTGCAGGGCCCTTCCGGAGCCCTCAGCCAGATCCCAAACAGAGGCCAATCCAGCGTCTAGCTGTCCCTGTCCTCTACAGGGGTTAAGAAGCAGATGGCTGAGGACATTGCCACTCATGATAGAAGTAAAGGCTGAGGGTGGCAGGTCACTCAGGGGCTCAGACTCAAGGAGTGGTGTATAGACTCATGGATGTCAGTGTGCGGGCCAGTCCTGCATGCGGAGCACATGCGTCTGCACACGTTACACCTTCCACAAACAGCTGCGAGCCCCCACCCTGCTCCTGTGCTCGGCCACTTGTGGGCCTTTCCCGACCTTTCCTTCTCCCTTTGCAAGAACCAGGCCTAGTGATAGAGCTGACGACAGATGCCCTTTCTTCTTGGTCCTGGCCTCATATGTGCAGGAGGTAGGCACCCACCTCAGTTCCCTGGAAGGAGGCACCCCAGGGACAGGTGGAAAGTGGAGGGGCTCACTGGGCGGCAGGCTGCGAGTGGCCACAGGGCACCGGCTCCCTCCCAGCTTCCACCAGGCCTCCACTGAGCCCGGTGGGGCTGCACAGGAACTGCTTTAACAAGGGGGAGGCTTGGAGCTCCAGGTGGGGCCCTGGGCCCCTGGGGGGCCCTGCCTGCTCCATGACCGTGGTGCAGGATGCGAGGATTGAGTTCCCGTACTGGTCCACCTCCTCATACTGCTCAGTCAATGTTCTCATGGCTGCACAGTGCTGCGAGCCACCAGGCCCAGTCTGGAGCTCCAGAACACTCTTCTGCCGCCCGCTGGGCAGGGAGCTGGCTGGGGCTGGGGCAGGGGCAGGGGTGGGCTCGGGCTGTCCAGAGCATTGGGTGACTTCTTTTTTCCTGGCCTCATCTCCAACACCTTTCCGTTGGAGCAGGGCCTGGCTCACATCCTGGGCCAGGTGTACGCTTTTCACTGAGGTGTCTGGGCTGCCCCTGGGGCTGGGAGCCTCTGGAAGCTTCCTTGTGGCTGACTTAATGGAGATGAAGGTTGGGGAGGAGGGTGCATCTCTGCTAGAAGGCAAGACCGGAGAGAGGCCCGAATCGTCTCTCAATGTCTCCAAACTCCTGGTGGAAGGGGAGGCTGAGACTACGGGACCTCTGGCCTCTGTGTGATTTCTGACCTTGGCTTGACTCTGGACCTCAGTATGGCATGTCACCTCGGTTTGGCTCTTGACTGCAGTTTGACCCCTGACCTCCTGGCCTGAGCAGTTGGACCTGGCTCTACTGCTGTCTATGACACTGACCTTGTAGGCACTATGGTCCTTTGGGGGTCCTTGGGAATGGCCCCTGGTGTTAGCCTCAGGCTGGAGGCTAGACATGGAGCTGAGGGCCTTGTGCACAGCTTCCTCAATGTCCAGCAGCCTGGCCAGGGTCTGTTCCTTCAACCGGGCCACCTCTGCGCTGACCCTCGTCAGCTCCCCAAAGGCCTGCTCCATTGAGGCCTCAGGCTTATGGGGGGCAGCAGGAGCCTCAAGGGCCCCTCCTATCTGGGGCACAGCTTCAAAGATTTTCCTCAGCGACTGCACATCTACGCTGCCTGCGGCCTCTTTCTCCAGGGCTTGCACCTGGCTTAGGAGGTCCTGGAGCTCTTGCTGGCTTCCCTGCTGAGTCTCAGGGCTCTCAGGGGCCCCCTGCTGGGAACTTTCCACCGGCTTCTCTCCTGGGGTGCTGGCATCCTGCTGCGGTGAGGTGGGGTCACTGCAGAGAGCTGAGAGCTTGCGGGGCTCAGGGCTCTGGGCGTTGCTGCCCACAGCCTGACTCTTGGTTGGCCTAGGGGCCATAGTGCTGAGGCCATGCTGGGAGCCCAGCTGGCTCTGACCACTGGAACATCCAGCCAGAGATATGCCGCCCTGGCCTGTAGTGACGGGGACCATGGCTGGCCGAGGCATGGCTGCATCTGTCTCGCCTTGTTTGGATTCTCCTTGGGAGGAGCTGGGAGACAGAGCTGACTTGGGCAGCCTCCGAGGAGGGGGGATCAGGCTTAGGTGTGCAGGTTTGGGGGGCAGCTGGGGCTTCTTCCTGGGGGTCAAGGTGGGCTCCAGTTTCAGGGTCTTTGTCTGTGACTCCCCAGGGCTTCTTTGGCCGGCAGGGCTGCTGTGGGAGTAGAGAAGGGGGTCTTGCAGGGGCTCGGAAGCCTGCCGGGTGGAGTCCTCATCATGGTGGGCTTGGGCTGGGAAGTCAGGTCCCGTCACAGCAGCTGGGAGAGGAGGGGGAGGAACAGAGGCATTATGGGAGTGCAGGCTGGCACCTGCAGCCTGAGGCCCAGAGGCCAGAGTGTGGTGGGCTAAAGAGGCAGCTTTCAGGGTGGTCTCTGCAGCGTGGAGGCCTCCTGGGCCGACTCCCTCCGTGGCTTTCTCTGGAGGCCCCCTGGCCCTCTGTGTGCAGCCCCCAGGCTCTTCCCGCCCTGGCCCAAGACTCAGACCTGGGCATTCTTGGGGTGGGCTGGAAGTCTGGGCCGAGAGGGCAGTCTCCCTGCCCCTTGGCAGGTGCTCCCTCTCAGAGGGCTGAGCACCCCCAGGTAAGTCACAGGTCCTCACAGGGTGAGCAGTGTAGATGCCGTCATGAATAGTTACCCGCCCCCCAGGCAGCCCTCTAGGCAGTCCTTTCTGTTCCCCACTGACCTTTCTGGGGGCTGCTGGGTTCCTGGGGTCACCTCCAGCCATAGGCCTGGCATAGCTTTGAGCAGTCCCAATGGCCGAGGCCGGGGTTTGCAGAAGACGGTCCTGGGAGGGTATGGAGATAGCTCCAGGGGTGAGGCCCTGCATGTGCTTGCTCAGAACTTCCTGGTGCAGGCTTTGGGCCTCGGCGGTTGCCGTCCTCAGACTCTGCATGGCTGCCTGGAAGTCTGCCACTCCGGGCCCTGGGGGTGTAGTCGTGGGTCCTTCTGACTTTCCCAGAGCTTCTATCCCTTCCTGCCCAGTACAACTGTTGTCTTGCTTTTCTTTGTCAGCCAGGGGGACTGCCTTTCCAATGGTCCATGGAGGACAGGGGGTGGCCCCTGGGCCTCTCAGATGCCCCATCCCCATGCTGGGGTCCAGTGGGGGAACATGAATGATGCTCTCAGTCAGAGGCAGCCTCTGGACCTCCTCACTGGCTGGCACTGGACTTGGGTCAGCCGGTGGCTCCCACCGCAGGCTGTGCAGGCCACTCAGGTCTCCTTTGTCTATGCAGCTGGCCAGCAGCTGCACACTGCTCCTCTCGGGGGCCCTGCTGGTGAGCCAGGGCTGCAGGGAGTAGGCGGTCAGTGAGACCAGGCCCTGCTCTGTTTCCTGCATCACCAGCCCAGCCCTCGCCACTGAGGTGCCCAAGCCACAAGCTAGCAGCTGCTGGAACTCTAGGTCCAGATCTTCCACATTCCTGCTGCTGCCTGGAACTGGAAGCCTCATGGGCTTGAGCCGGAGCTGGCCTGCTGGGTCCTCCTGAACCAGCAACCCCTGCTGGTCGATGTCCGGCCGCTGCAGCACTTGGCGGACAATCCTGGGAAGCTCGCCAGACACCAGCTCCTCCTTCCGTATGTGAGGGGCCCCCTGCCCTGGGCCTGGGAGCGCATACTTGGCAAGGCAGAGCTCTCCTGGCCCTCGGACCTCCATAAGGATGCCTCCATGGTGCAGGATGCCGGGCGTGGCATACAGAGTCCGCAGGGTCCCCTCGGCTGCTGTCTCCTGCCTCTCCAGCACTCCGCCTGACAGGCCCACTGGCTGCTCTTCCTGGAGGTCGCCCCCTCGGATGCTCTCAGCTGCCAGGGAGCCCATGGGGCAATTCTCAAAGAGCCAGGTGAACTTGTGCACAGAGCCCGCTGGGATGGGCTCAGGGATCGCCCTTGACCCCTGGTCTTCCCTCTTGCCTGCCTCCAGGGCCTGGAAAACCTCCTTCTGACGAGATACCTGCCCTGAAGGAATCTCCACTCGGCTGCAGTACCTCACAGGCCCTCTTCCACAGGGACGGCCTGACGCCCGCAGAGGCTCAGTCTCGAAGACGTGTCTGTCTGTCTGTCTGTCTCCAGCCTGGACCTGGCTAACCTGCAAGTGTTGCTCCCTGGAGCCTTCTGGCCTGTCCAGGGGTTGGGGCATGAACATCCAGGTGCAGGACTGTGCCTCGGCCTTAGCTGTGGGATCTGTGACCTCTGACCCCTGCTTCTCTGCCAACTCACTCATTGGGCATGTCTCGAACAGCCACCGGATGGTCTGCACGTCACCTTTGGGGGGTGCCTCAGGCTGGGAATCTTCCTGACTCTTTCCTTCTTCTGCCTGTCGTTCCTGCCGCTCCCGCTGGTGGATTACTTCCAGGGGCTGGGTCTCAAAGAGCCACCGGGTAGTGCTCACGTCTCCAGCCACCACTTCCTGCCGGGTGATGCCCCGCACCACGTCGACGGTACTGGGGTTTCGGCCCAGCTGGTCTAGGGGCTGTGTCTCAAACATCCACCTATAGCCCTGCACATCACCTCCGACTACTTGCTCTCTGCTGACAGAGGTCAGGGCATGGAGGTGGCCTTTGCCATCCTGCATGGCATACACTGGGGACCCTGTGTCCTGGGACTGCCCAGCAGAATCAGCTGCTTCTACTGTGCTCACACTCCTGGGGGTAGAAGGCTCACCCTGCCCTATGCTGTCCAGGGGAAGGGTCTCAAAAAGGTTCTTGAAAGTCTTCACATCCCCCTTCACCCCATCCTTCTGGGGGGCACTTGGAGAGAGGGACAGTGCTGAGGAGCTATACGTGAGCCCCTCACCCTCCTGGGGACCCACCCGCTGCAGGAGACCCACTTGGACCTTGTCTCTGGGAGTGTCCAGGGGCTTCATCTCAAATAGCCACAGGGTGGAGCGGACATCACCAGGGACCACTTCCTCTCTGGGTGGGGCCTCTGCCTCAGCACCCTCTTCCCCCTTTAGAGTGTCTAGCGCTCGGGTCTCAAACAGATGCCGCTGCTGCTGAACATCTGGACCAGGAGGGAGAAGGTCTGGGGATGGCTGGAAGTCCTTCTCGTCCACCAGGATTTCCCGGATGGCATCCAGGGGCTGCGTCTCAAAGATCCAGCGAGTTGCGCTGACATCAGGCTGGGCCCCCTCTTCTAGGGAGATCCCCCGGATCACCCGCACCTGGCTGGGGTCCCGGTTGATGGCATCTAGAGGTTGGGTCTCAAAGAGCCAACGAGCTGACCTCACCGCGTTGCTTTGGATCTCCTCCCTGCAAACAGCCTTGACCTCGTGGATGGTGCCTTCTGCGTCCTGGATGGCGCACAGTGGCTCCGTTTGGAACAGCTTCACTGTCTTCTTTACGTCGCCCTTCAGCTCCTGAATCTCAGAGCGCAGCTCCAAGGGACTCTGCTCCTGGAGGGAGGGGCGGGAGCCCAGGCGGTCCAGCGGCCGAGTCTCAAAGAGCATCCTGGTGCCCTGGACATCTCCACTGGCCGCAGGCTCCCTCACAGTTGCCTCTGGTGCCTCGTCAGCCTGACCCGTCAGCTTATCCAGTGGCTTTGTCTCAAACAGCTGGCGGGCTGCCCGAACGTCCCCTCCGGATGGCCGAGGTCCGGCTGGCTCCTGGTCTATGCTGTTGGCAAAGGAGCCTTCCTCAAACTTGCGGGAGGTGGCCTGGACGTCACCGCTGGGCACGGGCTCTTTGGCAACTGGCTTCTCATGGTCCCCAATGGCATCCAGCCGCCAGTTCTCGAAGATCCAGCGCATGCACTGGACATCGCCTTCGGTGGGCTCCTCAGAACCCAAGACCTCAGCCAGGTCTTCAGCCACAGCCTCAGCCAGGTTCTTGCGGAGCTCAGGGTGGATGTGCCTGTAGAGGCGGCGGAGCTCGCTGGCTTGCCGCTGCTGGTGGAACTTGGAGAAGGACTCCTTGGGTGGTGGCAGCGGCAGGTCCTCCAGGGCCGGCGGCGGAGGGAGGGGCAGGTCCTCTGCAGTGGCCATCGGCATGGGCGGTGTGGGGGCCGCCTGCATCTGGGCACTGGACATCCTTCTGAAGAGAAGGGTAGAGATGAGGGTGGTCTGGGGGCCTTGGGTGGGAGGGGGCTTGTTGCTGCGAGAAATAGGACAGAGCAGGGCACAGGGGCTGCAGTGACACGCCCTCTCCAGACTTCACTTGGGTCTCACTCTGCCACCTGCGTGCTTGGTGTATGACAAATCTTAAACTTAGGGCATGTGGAGCCATCCACCAAGGTGGGTCTGGGCTTCCCCAAGCAGGACACTGCTGGCCATGAAGCTCTGTCCTTCAGCTCAAGGGATGCTCAAACCTCCAGCAGGCGACTGGACGTGCCCCATCCTCACCTTCCTTTACCAAAATCAGTTTTCCCTGGTGGAGTCCCAGGTGAGTGGCCAGAGGGAATCCTGACATGGGCCCCAGCCAGAGAGAGGCGGGTCCCTAAACTGGTGACTGTTTCCCATGGAGAAGAAATTCTCTTCCGTAACACCAGAGGGCGCGCTTGCCGCTCTCATTGGGCGTCTTGTCCTAGGCTCTGGGCTCACCCCCCAACCTTGCCCAGGCCCAGGGAGGCAGAGCAGGGGCGCACAGCCCACGCTATGGCGGGAGCAGTAGAGGCTCACCGGGTGCCTCACGTTTAGGCAGAGCCAGGTCCTGAATCCCAGGTAGGGGTTTCTGTGCTATACCCAAGACTCAGAGACCTGAGCTAGGGGGTTCCCAAGGGTCTTCTAACCCAACCACTCATAATTAAAGATGAGGAAACAGGCCCAGAAGGGTCAGATCTTGGTGACTGAGTAGTAGGCAGTGCTGATCTGGGGTCCCTAGACCCTATTTGGGGCTGGCTCCCAAGAAATAAAAGGGTAAGGGGTGTGAAGCTTTCTTATCGACAGTGGTGCCCCTCCGTTCCCCAGCAGGCACCCCTAGAAGAGTGGAGGGTGACGTCTACTGGGGTGGGGTGGGCATGGGACCCTCCCCAGAGACAGCCTTGCCCCTTGCTCGCGAAGACCCGGTCCCAGCTGTGTGCAATGAGCCTGAATCTGGCTCCATGATCCTCTCCTTTCTCCACCTTCACGTCAATCAGTTTCCACCAAGGTGTTCCCCCCGCACCCCTGCTCCTGCTCACCCCTGCCCCTCTCCATGGCCTCCCACCCCTCGAGCCCTTCTCTGGTCTCTGTCCTCTGTGTCTTATCTGTCTTGTGACAGGTGTACTAACAGTCCCCAGAGGCCAGTAGGAAAAGAATGCGAAGCACGTGCCCCCTCCGGTGCCCCTGACCCACTGCTCTGCTCCACACTTGATGCTAAATATAGCTGAGGTCCGGCCTCAGCAGGGCAGCCCTGGGCTCCAGACGGAGGTTCAGGCTCAGCCCGTGGGACCCTGGGGGCCCTGGCCCATCACATCTCCTCTTCGCTGGGATCCCTGATCCTGCCCCTGCCACTGGGCTGCAGGATGACTGGTGCTGGGACCTGGAACCTTTCGTGATCAAAGGGCTGTGGGGCTGAGGGGAGGTGCAGGGACCGTGGCAGCAGTGGGGACAGGGCTTCCTCCTCATCTTTATCTCAGAAGGGGGAACTGAGGCCTGCCTGCCCCACCCCCACCCATCTTGTCCCGCAAAGCCATCAGAGCCCCGAGAAATTCGAACTCTGAGACCTGCTGCCTGAGTCGCCACACACTCTGGGGGTGGGGTGAGGGTGGGGGTGGGGGTGTCCTTTAGTCTCTGAATTCTGATGGGGACCCCGTGCCAAAGGCAAACCATGCCTGTCCCCACCTCCTCCCCATCCTGTCACCACCAGTGTGGCCTGAGCAGATGGCATGTGCAAGGCCACTGGTTCCACCCTCCGCCACCCCCAGGAATCTCCAGAATCCCTGCTATGGTCCCTCACTGTTAGAATCATGGAGTCCGGCTATGTTGGACCTGAGGACCCTCAGAGGCCACTGAACCTGAGGACAAGCCCCGTGCTCAGCTGTTGTGGGTTCAGATGGGGAAACTGAGGGCCAAAGAGGGGAAAGGTGCTGTCCCAGCAGTAGTGAGGCCTGAAGCAGGTTTCCCAACTCCTAGCTTTCCCATGCCTGCCCCTGCCTGGCCTGACCCCTAGAGCTTAAGTTTCTAGAAGGGAGGGACGGGGGTTGTGGGGAGGGCAGAATTCAGAACTGGGACCAGACTTTGGGTGGGGGCCTGAGCCCCAAGCAGCTTCCCAGAGCTTGGCCTCCCCTCCGGGTGACCCCACCTCTGTTCCCAGTGATCCCTCCTTGGCTTAGCCCCTCCACATCTCCACATCTGGCTGACTCAGATCTTATCTCCCCACCTTGTGCCCCTCCCCAGATCTGCCCCTAGGACCTTCCCATGAGTCAGGATGATGGCCTGGGGCAGAGTCCTAGGTCTGGATGTGTGCGGAGCTGGGCTCAGGCCAGCCCTGGGGCCTATGTGTTGGGACTTTCACCCACATCTGGGCATGAGGCTTGTCCCAGCAATGAGGGGTTGGACCTGCTTCCCACCCTCCACCCAAATGTCCTCCTACCTCTCCTCTTTGCCGCTTTCCTCCAGACACTGGGCCTTCCTGGGAGGAAGCCCGAAGCCCAGGGAGTTCCATATTTGTATTTTAAATATTGAAACTCCAGGCCACCTCCTCCTGAATGCCTTCCTGGATTTTTTTTCAGACTGGCAAGAACTTATCCCTTATTGGCCTCAGGCCTGTGGCCACCACTCTGAGAGCTCCCATGGTGCTCACACTAAATCTCCCTTAACTTCCTTGTGGAATCTTTATATCAGAGACCCCTCCACTCACCTACATCCAGATGCATGGCCCCTCAACCTCTCTCTGCCACCCTAATACATGCTCTCCTGAGAGCCATCCAGAGCGTCCACAGGGGACCCCCACTGGCTACCAACCCCGCCACAGAAAGACAAAGGGCAGGCTGCTCACCTGACAGTCCCACTTGGCTGCTGGGGCGCTTGGGGTCTATGGCAGGTGCGGCCTAAGGGTCTGTCGTTCCTCTCAAGCTTCTAGCTTGGGGTTGGTTCTACTCTGCTGGATCCCTGAGATGACTTCTCGCTGCCCTGGCTCCAGGTCTCTGTCCCCTGCCAGCCCCAGCAGCTGCTTTTATCTTGCTGGCTAGGGGGTGGGCCAGGGTGGGGGCGGGAGGCAGAGGCTAAGTTCAGAGTATGAAGTGGTTCGGTTATTTTTAGGGCTTGTGGAAGTCACTCTTCCATCCTGGGGGAATCGGTTACATGTCCTTTGTGCGGGGGAGGGGAGGAGAAGTGAGGGAAGAGCTTCATTCATCCCTCTGATCCAGGACAGCCCGTGACTCAGCCTCGGTGTGGGATGCCGGTGTCCCAGACTATTTTCAGGGAATGAATGAGGGGCATCTGACACCTGAGGGCCCTGCCCCCTACCCCTGTGAGCCCCCACCTCCCTCTGGACCGGCCTCTGACTATCCCTGATGGGTGTGCGTCCACTGTGCTGGAGCCTGGAGGCCCTCGGACTCTGTTCCAGGCTGCAAACCTCCGAGATGAGGCCCAGCTTTCCTCTCCATCCGCTCAGCCCTTCCATCCATTCCTCCCCACGCCCCACAGCTCAGGTCTGCACAGCCCTGAGTGCCGCTGGATTCGGGAAGAGACATCTGGATTTCCAGGCCTCAGCTCTTTGCTAGGCCCCTGATTTATCACCGAGTTCCACAGACTGGTTCTGTGGCTTTCACAGCAGGTTATCTGGGTCCTTGTTTACTTTTGGGCTCTTCCCTCTGTCTGACTCAGGGCCCAGGTTTTCTGGGAATGGAGGGGAGGGGAGGGATGGCAGGCAGGGAGCTGACTGTGGGGTTATTTTTGATCCTGGAGTCAACAGCTTCCAGCCACAGAAGGGGGGGGGGTCACAGTTGCCCCACCTTTGCTGCCCAGAGCCTAGGGACTTAGCAGATTTCCTGGCATTTAGGCCAGGAAGGTGGTGAGGGGCGTCAGGGACCATCCAGAGCACATGGAGGTGGCATTTCTCCCGGGCTGCATGTCTGAGGCTCCACAGGTGCATCCTGTTACCTGGCAGCACAGGGCCTTCCTTCTGACATCCCAGTGCCCTCTGGTGCCTGGAAGTGATACCAGGCACTGCTCACTTTTTCCATTGAGTCAACTTTGGTCATGTAGCGTTGGCCTGTGGGTGGAGAGAGGGACAGCCGGGAAACCCTCTCCCTCATCTCCCACCCCGTCCTGTTTCCCTGCCTTTTCTCCCTGCTCCCTGGGCTCCTGGCTGTCCCCAGGAAGGTCAGGAAAATGTAATTGCCTCTCAGGCCAGGGGAAGGGGAACCTAGGTGTCTCTGCCCTGGGGGTGCCCAGAGTGCCGACCTGCTCTGGTGGTTTTGAGAATGGAATGAATTAAGACATGAAAAGGTTTTATGAGGGCGCTTAGCACGCATGCTGTAGAAGTGCCTGCTGTTGTTACATATGTAAGGAAAGAAAGTGGGTACTGGAAAAATTGGGGAACACTCTGTAAGTACACAATTGTCTAACCACTATGCTGTACGTCTGAAACTAAAACAGAATAATATGGAATGTAAACTGTAATTGAAAACTAATTTTTTAAAAAAGATAAACACCCAGGTAGAACCCACGTTTGTGTTCACAAGTGTGATAACTCCTGGTGGAAATTTCTCAGGCCTCAATATTAAGAAAGAGGCTTTTCCGGACCCCCAGGTTCGTTTTTACCTAGTACAACAGTGCTGCCTAATACAGTCCCCACTAACCACAATGACTAAATAGATTAAAATGAAATAAAATTGAGAGTCCAGTTCCCTCATCACACTAGGCACATTTTAAGTGCTCCATAGAGATGTGTACCTAGTAACTATCACATCGGACAGTGCAAAACATTTCCATCTTTCTGGAAAGTTCCATTTCATAGCACTATTATAAACACTACAAATCTCATAACAGATGATATTTCCCTCTTTGCCTTGGCTGTTAGGAAGCTCCAGCTAAATTTTTAGTCTTCTACAAGTAGATTTTGTAGCCTGTATCCTGTGTAATGAGGGTGACCTGTGTAATGAGGAGTGATTAAGCCTGACTCTTAACCTGTGAGACCTGCTGGCTGTGTGAGCTTGGCTAGTTACTTACCCTCTCTGTGTCTCAGCTTCCTCCTCTATAACATGGGGATAATAATTATGCATCTTTCAAAGGGTTGCTGTGAGGAATATCCATTTATTACACACACACACACACACACACACACACACACACCATTTAGAATAGTGTCTGGCACACTAAATGAGCAAGCTCAGTAAGTTTTCCCTAGATCCTGGCCACCCCCAGCTTCTCCAGGTCCCAGATCCCAGCTTGTCCTCTGGGTTGGAAGACAAGTGCCCTTCAAGGCACAGGCTGGTAGTCCTGGCTTCTCTTCAGCCAGGAAGCAGACACTGGTGCCAAGGGACAGCTCTGGGCACTCCAGGCTGGGTCTGTTCCAGGCCTGCAGGAGACCCGCCTGCTCAGCCTCTGGATAAAATCATCTGAACCCAGAGAAGGGATTTTCTGCTCTGGGTCAGCTCACGAGGCAGACAGATGTGTGGGGAGAGCTCCACCCTCCTGCCATGGGAGTGTGGTGACTGGCGCATGCTTGAGAGAGTGGGATCTGGTGTCAGACTGCCAGCCCGGGATCAAATTGCCAGCCTGTCTTCCTATCTATATGACCTCTGAGAGTCCTTCAGCTCTCTGCACCCTAGTGCCTCAGTTTGGGATCTTCCAGCACATGACTTAACTGGGAGGGGAGGAAAGTGGTGAGGGAGTGAAGAAATGAGTTGGGGAGGCAGGAGAAGTAGATCACTTCTGTGGGCAACTGGGGCTCCATCGCACAGGGGACCCTCTGTGACGTGAAGTGTGACTTGAGTGCTGGTTGGATGGGCAGAAGGTGGGGAGTCATCTGGAGCAGCGGGCGGGGAGTGAATGCCGGCGAGGAGTTTGGGCCCCATCCTGGGTGTAATCAGGGGCAATTTGGGTCGCAGGAGGCAGGCGATGTGACTGCAGCACAGGTTCTGAATGATGAGGATCTCAGTGGTGGCGGAGAGGAGGGGAGGGGCCGAGTCCGAGGGATGCTCAGGCAGAGCACAGACAAAGCCTAGAAGGGCCACCGGATGCCTGCGCGCCTGGGGCACTGAGGCCGCTCCCAGAGCTGCGGAGAGGCCTGGGAGGTGAGGACGGGGCAGTCGGGGGACCCCAGCTGTCCAGCGTGGGGACGTGGCTGGGTGGTGCTGCTGAGGGAAAGGGCAGGGGGCTGGTGCAGGGCCGAGAAGACAGGTTGCCTTCGGACAGGATGAGGGTGAGGCGCCAGGGGCTCCCAGGTACAGCTGGTCTTCGGGATGATCGGATCCAGAGCCAGGAGAGGACACTGGGCTGGTGACAGAGAGCTGGGGGCCTGTTTGTGTGCAGCTGGGAGCGAGGCCTGGAGGGGAGGCGATCTCCCAGAGGACGGCGCAGCAGGCCCAGGGACAGACCTGGGAGGAGGTGTGCTGTAGAGACGATGCAGAAGAAATGTCGCAGCGGGGAGGCAGGAGAAAAGCCAGGACAGGTGTTGGTCATGGAAGATGCTGGGGAAGGGCATACCGTGAGGAAGGCTGAAAGCCAGTGTCCAGTGCTCCACAGCGGGAGGTAAGGGGTGGGAGGGGGACTTTGGCCAAAGCAGCCACAGTGAGGGGGAGGGAGCAAAGGCAGCCGGCAGAGGGCTCCCGAAGGCTTGGGTGAGCCTGGGAGACACCGGGGAGAAATGCTGCTGCTAAAGAACTCCTCTGGTCCTCACAGATCTCACGGTCAAATGGGAATCAATACAGGAGTCAGGGTTGTTGTTAAAAACCATCCATCAGGAAAGCGCCCTGGGAACTGACAGAGGCGTCAGGCAAGAGCCGGGTGCATAGTTCCCGAGGCAGGCAGGACGCGGTGCTGGAAACGGCCGGCAATGTCCCCAGTGCCCAGACGGTGGCAGTACCTCCTCAAGTGACACTTCATCTCGCTGGATCAGGCGCGTTTCATCATGTTAAGTATTAAACTAGAAGAATTCTTTGCGCAGCTTCTATGGCTGGGCTCTGGGCTAAACACTAAAGATAGATATTCTCATGGAGCCTACATTTTGGTTAAAGAAGCAGATAACAGAAATAACTGAATCATCTCTATAACTGTCAATAAACCCTGTAAACTCCAAAGCTTTATATCCTCTGAGTCGCAGGGGAAACTTTCTAGAACGTGTGACATGTGTCCCTTCTTCCTTGAACAAAGGTACTGAACAGAACTTGGGTCCCAATACTGGGCCCACCACTAAGTGCTGTATCTCCTTTTTCGTGGAACAGGTTGGAAGGATTTTCCAAAGATGACCATCCCCTATGCACTCCTTATGCTGTGACTGTGACATTCCTCCGAATGAGAGAAAGGAGTCCGTGTGCCATCCCCTTGAACCCAGGCAGGCTGAACCGTGACTATAATAAAGGACTCTTTATGGAGTCTGAGGCTGGGTCATAAAAGGCAACACGGCTTCCCCCTGACTCTTTCGGGGACGCTGGAACCCAGTGGCCGTGCTGTGAGGAAGCCCAAGCAGCCCATGGAGATGCACCAGGCCCCCGGCCCCCGGCGCTGGCTAAGCTCTCAGCCAGCGGCCAGCACCAACTCCCAAGCCAGGAGAGCAAGCCGCCCTGGAGGCAGGACTCCAGTCCCCGCTGCCGCCTCGCAGAGCAGATGAGCTGATCCTGATTGCAGGACTGTAAGCCAAACAAGCGATTGCTATTGTTTCAAGCCACTTAAGTTTTGAGGTGGCTTGTCATGCAGTAACAGAGATAATACCTACGAGGGCCTGCTCTCTTCTGGGCTCTTTGCTAGGAGCTGGGGATGTAGGGTAAACAGGACAGATTCCATCTGTGCTACCAAGGACTTTACTGTCCATCTGGAAAACAGACTGTGATCAAAGCACAGAAACTTCACTGGCTAATCTAAATCTGAAGCTGTGACGAGGTTCCTCGGCTCCAGGTGCCTCACCTTT